CGAGCTGGGCAGCAGCCTCAAGAAGAAGAAGCGGCTCTCGCAGTCGGATGAGGATGTCATTAGGCTCATAGGACAGCACCTCAATGGCCTAGGGCTCAAGTAAGTGTCGTCCGTCCTGCACCTGGCGAGGCCCGGGCCCGGCCGCCGGGAGGGTTGTGGGGGACAGACAGCTCCGGCAGCAGCGGGAGGGAGGCCGAGGGAAACGAATCGGCCCGCTGTCTGCTGTCGGGAGACGAGCTGGACCGCCTGGGCTGGGGACGGACGGGTGGTGGCAGCCCAGAGCGACCCCTCCCCACGCACCTCCAGAGCCCGATCGTCGTCGGCCCGAGGAGGCGGACACCCAGGGTGTTGGTGCTGGGGGAGGGGTGGCTCGGAGCGGTGGAAATAATGAACCTTGGAGGATTTGTTTTTCAAGTGTGTCTCAGAGGCATCTTTGTGGGACACCTCCCCACCCCCACCCGTGACCGACAACAGCCCAGGCAAACTACCAATCAGGAAGGACAGTCGCTTACAAGTGTTTATGGGAACTAAGGGGCTGGGGGTAATTTGGAAAGAGGCTGTCGAGTAAATCTGATGGGAATAATACGGAGTTGAAGTCATGCTGAGGCTGTGTGTGTACTAAAGGCCTAGCACTGGTGAAATCCCATTTGAAAAACAACCAAGAAGATTGCCTCTGAAAAAGTGATGTCTGGTCTGGTGGATCATTTGTTTTCAAATACAGTTGGGGTGGCCTTTAACTTATAGGGTGAAGGTAGGGCATCGGGTTTAACCAAAATCCACTATTTTGTACACACACAAAGGAAGAACTAAGGGAGTGTTGAAGTAAGGTTGGTGGGAGTGTCCTGGAGCTGAATGAAGGTGTCAGAGCCAGAAGGAGCTGACTGGGTAAACATGCAACAGTTTCCTAGCCTCAAATTTAAAATAAACTCTTAGGCTTAAGTGTCAAGGTGGTTGTTGTTGTTTTCTAGTGTGTGTGTGTGTGTGTGTGTGTGTGTGTGTGTGTGTGTGTGTACACGTACGTACGTACTTGTTGGGAAATGGGGACAACAGCACTAGTGACAAGTATTTTGATTCTCGAGCTGGGCATTGCACTGTTGAACTGAAAAATAAGGAGCACTAAAGAAACGAATAAGTAAAGCCATGAACATAAATATACGACTGCTGAATGAAGGTTTTAGATAACAAAGTTAGGTACCATTTAGATACCAAATGAAACCACATTTGATGAGTTAGGCTCCCAAAGAAAAATCTGGAAAGATTTCACTTTAGTCCCTAAAGGAAAAGGGTAAGCATGAAATAAATTTTGTGAATGCTAACAGAACATATTACTGAGGGAAGCAGCAAGCTGACAGCAGCAGGCGGAAATAACTCGTGACTGTTTGGAATCTACACCATAGTAAATTGGCTATTTTTAGTATGGAGAGAAAGGAAATGGTTTTTGATGCTGGATTTGTTTTAATTTTGAAGATTGACCTAGCAGAATTTACATACAAGCAAAATACCTGGAAGGGAAGCTCTACCTAACACAGGCCGTCTGTCACCTTGTGTTCTGTCTTCCAAAATGCTGTGCCATAGATGATTTCTAGATTCTAGTTTTTACTTGACCAGTTGGCTAGAGCACATTTTTAGAAATTGTATACTCTTTTAAACTTGTGAAACATTAAATGGCAGAAGTAGGGAGAAGCTAGTTATGGTTTCAAGAAAAGTTTTTAAGTGTAGGTGGCATTTTAAATGATTTATTTAACCAAGTGTTTTAAAGCTCTTTTCTTCTTTCTTCTTTATGATGTTGTAAACACTAGTGTATTAGGAAGAGTAAATCCCTAAAGTTGGTCAGGTCTTTTTTACACTGTATCTCTCCTGCAGCCAGACTGTTGATCTCCTCATGCAAGAGTCAGGATGTCGTTTAGAACATCCTTCTGCTACCAAATTCCGAAATCATGTCATGGAAGGAGACTGGGATAAGGTAAAGTAGGGCATACAGAGCTGTATGACTGCTGCTAAAATTAGGTATTTGATGGAAATTTTGTGACATTTTTGTTTTTCTTTTATGCCAACTTTTGCAGGCAGAAAATGACCTGAATGAACTAAAGCCTTTAGTGCATTCTCCTCATGCTATTGTGGTAAGAGGCGCACTTGAAATCTCTCAAACGTTGTTGGGAATAATTGTGGTAAATACACTTTTGTTCTTAGTTTCACACTTATGCTTATTTTAGGTTATTGATAACTTATAGGCATCTGATTTTAAGAGGCTTGAAAGTAAATTTATATAATTTATAAATAAGGATGAGTTGTTTATGGTTGTAAGCTATGAACTTTAAATGTTTTATGTCATACTTAGTAAATGTGTAATTTGAAACCATAATTTAAGCCCTATAAAAACTTGAACATCTTCCTGCTTTTAGTGCTGTTAATAGGAGCCTTATATTGTTAGGTAAAGGCTAATTATACTTTTATATTGCTCAAAATATTGAATATGTTTGTTGAAGAGAAAATATGTTTGGGTTTGTGTATAACATACCAGCATGAAGAAGCTGGTATGTTATTTTTTTGGTCATTGGAATTACATAGTCAAGCCAAATCATTACTGTTGGTGTGCCCACCATTTTCTTCCATTCAAGTTACATGCATTGACAAGTGTCAGAGTTTGTATAATGTGTGTCACTTGGAGGGATTTAGGTGCAGGTTTGATCAGTGGGCCCTGCTTAACGTCTTTATTTTGTTAAGATGAGTTTAGGAGTTTACCCTGTTAACTTCCTTCATTAACCTTTATGGGTTTGGTTTGGTTTTTTATGCTGATAAGTTTTAATTCTTTAGGAAGGGATACATTGTTTTTTAAGCACTAGTGATTGAAAAGCTTGGAAGAATCAGTTGCTGGCTTATAAACTTATAGCTGATTGATTTATTGTCAAAAGCAGTTTCCTGTCTGGTGGGGAGGGAAAGGAGGAGACTAGGAAGTAGAGTAGGGAAGCCAGCTGTTGTTAAATATTAGTGAGTGACCATTAGCATTTTGGTTCTTTTTTTAAAATTGGGTCAAACATTAACCTTTTTTTTAACCTTTGTCTATAAACTTTAATGGAGTTGGGTTTTTTCTTTTAAAAAATTCTTATTACAAAATAGTTTCAAATTCTTGATATAATTCTGTATAATAATATAATCTTAGAAAGTGGGCTTTAGGAAAATTAAAGGTCTAAAGAAGTATGACAGATGTGTAGTTAAATTCATGGTTCTGTTCTTTCAATAAATACCCAAAGTATTAAAAAATTTAAATGAGTAAAAAGTCAAATGATTTAACTTAAGAAATAAATAGTTCCATAGAATAATTTAAAAGTAAAAGTGAGCTAAAGTAAGCATACATATTTGAAGGGATTAAATTTTTTTCAGGAAATAGAGATGTCCTCAATTGTTATGTCTGGGGTTTAAACCCTGAGGTGGGTTTTTGTTTTTTTTGTTTTGTTTTTATTTTTTGAGACATGGTTTCTCTGCAACAGCCCTGGCTGTCGTGGAACTCACTCTATAGACCAGGTTGGCCTTGAACTCACAGAGACACTCCTGCCTCTGCCTCCTTAGTGCTGGAATTAAAGGCGTGTGCCACCAATGCCTGGCACCTGAGTATGTATTAATTGAGCAGTTTTTCACAAATTTTTGGCTGAATGATCTAAAACAAAACAAAGTGGCCAAAATTAGAATTGGGATTTATTGGTGGCTATAAAGAAATTTATTTGTGGAGTATTTTGGTGTGATTTATTGGAGTGTGTTTTCATTTTTTTTTTAAAGTTTATCCAAATTGTATCTGTACTCTGATAGCAAAAAATTTAATGGATTCACTTCTTTTAAAATTTTATTTGTAGTAATTTGAGACTTCTGCTTGGGTTTAGATTATGACTCATTAGAAACTTCAATAGAAGCAACATGTAAATTGGAGAAAGGTAGTTATAGATAATAAGGAGGAATCCTTTCTTTTTACAGCCTGTTGAGTCTGTAGAACATTCTAGGATCTAATAAAAGATGAAGATTAAATCTCTGGCTGAGCCTCACACCATCAAACTGTTTAGGTATTTATACAAAGAAAGGGGTCCAACTTTTGTCTCCCATAAGCATTGATGAATCAATTGCTTTAAAAGATTCAGTTCAGCATTTTTTGAAGCCGTTCTTCACCTTTCTAATCCCATTTATTCCTTCCAGACTTCATTGCTAGATGATCATTTAATATAATGATGTTGAAATTTGTAATAGTATCTTAGAAGACAGCTATGTGGGCTTTTAACGTAAGGACTTAATTACCTACGCAGATTTTGGTGGCAGTGCAGTCTCAGACTGCCCATCGCCATCATTTCCAGTGATGGGACTGAAGCCAGAGCCTGCCTTGACTGGGTTAGCCTGTGCCCTGCCACTTAGCTGCATCCCTGGCCTTCAGACTGAACTTTTACTTTTTAAATCTGAATGTTTTTATTGCTCTAGTTTACTTCCCTCACTTTTCCTCTGTCCCCCACACTTTAAAATGGTTTTCAGTCAAATGATACACAGAAGAGCAGATGTTGTGGGTTTTAAATGCTAAAATCATGAGTTTGAATTGATAATGCCATGTCCGGGCATCTGGATGGGCATTTGAAATAGTTTTAACAAAAGGAGCAGATATGGACTTGACATAAAAATTAACTCATAAAGTCAAATAAGAGCTTTGAGATCCTTAGCATAAATATAATTTATTTCTCCTTTCCTTGGATTAGGATTTAATTGGCAAAATTTGCTTATAACATTATTATAGAGTTAAAGCCATCACAAAATTAGGAGATTCCCCTCCATGGAGACACTAACATTTGAGTTTTTCTTCAGTGTTAAAATTCAGTCTTTAATGTGAGGAGAAGAATAGTGATTCAGATATTGGGTAAGGCTTGTGTGTGTTGGGGGTGGGGGTCCAAGAAGAAATTTCAATTTTGGGTTTTTATTAGATTTTAAAGGAAAGAAGAAAATATTGCTGGGGCCCAAAGTCATTGAAATATCATCAGTGACCTGAAATAGTCTGATGAAGATCTAATTGGAAAAACTCAAAGAGGGTGTTATTTCCTCCTTCCTTTTCCTACCGTCTGGCTTCTTTTAGAAGCCTCTGATGTTTAAAGCAAGCTTCAGTGTTGCCTGATTTTAAACTTCTCAGGAATGAACATCACTGGCGCATTAAAGGGCCTTTATTTTCTTGATATTATATTCATTTTGAGCTTTAAATTTAGGAAAGTAAAATACATCTTCATTGCTACTGTGTGTCAGATATTTGAGCTGAGTTTCAGATGGATAAACATTTTTTTCTCAAGCTCTTTAGCTGTATTTGTCTAGCAGCATATTAGTTGCAGTGCCTTAAGCAACCTTTGAGGGTGTTCATTGTCTTAATTTGGATAAAATGACTCATAAAAATGTTCTGGTGTTGCTTTTATAGCATTCCCTGTATATACAGGAATATGTGTTTGTGTTGGCTTTGCTCAAAGGTCTAGTTTGCCTTCCTTTTTTATCTTTACTGGTAGAATGCAGTAACATTCTGCCATGGTCTTGATGAGAAAGTACGGGAGAAATAACAATGGGCACTGTCCCTCTACACACTGGGACAAGAGAAGGAGAGGTTAACACTGTCCATTTACACACTGGAACAAGGGAAGGAGGAGTATAGGGCCTTTCGATTAATAGTAAATGAGCAATGATTTGCCTGGAATTAAAAGGAAAAAATGATTCCCAAATTCCCAGTTGCTGAGAAAATTTAGTGAGGAAATGAAATCCATGCTGACTAGTTGCATGAGGCATTGCTTAAGCTTGACTTAAAAATACACTAAGTTAATGAAACCTTGAACAGAGTGTTGGTAACATAGAAGCTTTATTTTGTAAAATTAATTTTTTTCAGAAGATGGTGACAATAGCCTAGTAATTTCACATATAATGCCCCTCCCCTTTCTAAGATTTTTAAATTTAATTTGGGGATTTTGTCACCTGGTGAACTTCTAAGTTTTTTTTTTTTTACTTGACATATAAAATTAAACTTAAGGATACATGTACAACACCCTTTTCAAAGCATCTTGCTAATTAATTAGTCTGTTTCTGAAACTGATTAGTCTAACCTTATGTGTAAAATTGGTAAGTGTGATTTCCTAGTTATAGGAGTATGTCTCAGTTTGAAAAGGGTTTTTTGTTTGTTTGTCTTACCTACAACTTTAAGATTAGATTACCAAACAGAAGTAACAGGTCTCACAACAGATATGTTTTAAATAGTTGCCTGGTTTATATAAGAGGGTTTAAAATAACTTTTGTATTTGAGACACAGTAGAATAAGCCAATAGTTTATATCTTATAGGTACTACTTAAATATAGAATACAAAGCAGTTTATTGTGCTCTGAATTCTGTTGTTACATGTTAATTTCTGTAAACCATTTTGTAACAACTTTTTTTTAAAAGTGGACTTTGCTTTTTCACAATCCATGGAGCTTCTAAATGTGATGAGCATTTTCTGCCATGTTTGCTGAAGCACAAGTAACAAATGTGAGATGGTCCTCCAAACAGAGGTCCTTAGTCAAGCTGCAAGCATAGAAGACATTCTAGATAGAATAGTTGGCAGCTACTGCTCTGTCTAGTGGAAACTGCTAGGGTTGTGGTCATCATTTTTAAGTTTAGAGTAAGATGATAATGTAACATTAGAAGTGTTAAAACCAAACATTTCTCATAACTGAAAAGTGCTTTATTTTTGTGGACAAATATTTATCTGTGCTTTGTTGCTAAACACATTAGTGAGCAGATTATGACAAAATATACAGACATAGTAGATTCTTCCCAAAGGCCATTAAATCCAGCCCTCTCCTGTCTGACAGCAGCTTTCTAACTGCAGAGAAAGCTCATGCTCTCCCGGTTTAGTCACAGGATCTCCAAACTTTTGCATACCAACCTGGAGTGTGCCTCTGTTAGAAAGCAGGTTTTACTTGAGATAAGCCAAAATCTGGTACTTTCATACTAATACCTAATGACTTTAGTTCTACCTTCCAAGTCACCTTAGTTTCTCTTTCATATTGTGGCTTTTTTTTTTTGGTTTAGGGTTTTTGTTGAATTGTTTTTTCATTGTTATTTTTGTGGTGCTAGAATCAAATCCAGATCTCTCTATACTATGCAAGCGCTGTACAAATGAGCTACACCCCTGCTGCATCATGCCTTTCCAATAACTCTTCCATTAACTGGACTTTTTTTTCATCAGTGTTTTCAAAGCCTGCTGCATAAGATTTTTTACTGCCCTATTAAGATAGTCAGAAAATTTGAAAAGCAAATTTGGAATTCTTGGAATCGTTTTAAATGTTGATAAATAAAATTTTAAAGAAATGTAAGAGCAGAATTCATTTTTTGTTTGTTTTCCCTTCTTATATTGATAATGCCTTAGTCACTAATGATCCTGACTGGAAATTTTTCAGAGTTTTATTACTATGTAGACTTGAGCAGTCATTTAACCTACTATGACTCGTAAAAGAAAAATATTTTGAGTCATCTTGAAGCTTTATAAAATTATTTTCAAAAGGCATAGTAGAATGGTTTCTACTGTTCTGTTTAGGCACAAACATTTTCTGAAACTTCCGTCAACTTTTTTCCCTGACTGCTGCTTTCTGTCATGTCAGAGGATGAAGTTTTTGCTGCTGCAGCAGAAGTACCTGGAGTACCTGGAGGATGGCAAGGTCCTGGAGGCACTTCAAGTTCTGCGCTGTGAGCTCACGCCGCTGAAATACAATACAGAACGAATTCATGTTCTTAGTGGGTAAGGAAGTGGGGTCTTAGACTCCAGATTCATTAAGGGGCTAAGATCTTTATAGACAGAAGTTTACTGTTGGTCAGAGTTATGGTTCGTTAATTTTTTTTGTGTGTGAGATAGAAAGTACCTGGATGTTGCTAAATTGTTAGTTCTGGATAAATTCATTTATGTGTATACAACCTATTTAGACAGAGGCCAGATTGGTCTCTATAGAGCGAGTTCTAGGACAACCAGGAAACCCCAATCTCAAACAAATGAAAACAAGAACAGAAAAGATTTGAGATACTTTTAATAGGTGAAGGGGAAAAAAAATCCATATAGCCAAAGATACCATTTCAAAAACTTCATGGTTTTGGATCACAGCAAGCAGTGGAGAGCAGACAAGTGCTCTGCATACAAAATCAGCAGTTGCTTAACTGCTTAGAAGCATGGTCTCATTACATGGTGTATAATTGGGCTGGTTACAACTGGGTGGTGGTGACACACACCTTTGATCCTAACATTCAGGAGGTGGAGACAGGTGGATCTCTGAATGTGAAGCCAGCCTGGTCTACAGAGTGAATACTAGGACATCCCAGGACACACAGAGAAACCCTGAGTGTGTGGTGGGGAGATCCACCTGACTCTGCTTCCCAGGTGTTGGGATTAAAGGTGCACATTACCACATGGGCCAGAACTTATAATTTAATGCATAGTTTTTATTTTGAAGTGATCTTGAAAGAAAATAAAATTCCTGCTTGTGCTATGTCTTTTCAGTTCTACCATGTTACTTTCCATAAGTACATTTGTCTAAATCCAAGGCTTACTGCATATTCTTGTAAAGAGCACAGAAACAACCATAGGTCCTCTTCCTTACTTACTGGGATTGAACCTATGACTTTGTTTGGGGTTTTGTTTTTATTTTGGCTTTTTGGGACAGGGTTTCTCTGTGTATCTTTGGAGCCTGTCTTGGAACTCACTCTGTAGACCAAGCTGGGCTAGAACTCGGAGTGCCGCCTGCCTCTGCCTCCCGGGTGCTGGGATTAAACACATGTACCACCACACCCCCATTTTCCACTTTGTGTGGTGTGTATGCATATGTCGAGATCAGAGGACAACTTGTGTGAGTAGTTCTCCTGGCTTGTGGGTTCTAAGAATCAAAATCAGGTTGGCAGGCAGACTTGTGTTTAAAGAGCCTTGACCCACAGAGCCCTCTCTCTTGCTCCTCATAATTAGTTTAGAGACAAAGTTTTCCTAATATCAAGTATAATTACACTTTCTAAAAAGTTTTTTCATTAACTAAAATGCTGTATCCATACTAAATAGAAAGGAGACGCTCCTCTGTTTATTTAGACTCTGTGATCCTTTCTTCAGTTGAGGAAAGGGGGGCGGGGGGCATTGACCCTGCTGTCTGAGAGGGGTCACTGCCTTAACTGTGCAGCAGGGAACTTGTAGTTCACCCGTGTTGCCTGATTGCCCTTTATATAAGTGACAAGAAAGGTATATTTGGCAGAGCACCTGGGAGAGTTAGCTGCCAGATCTCACCTATCAGTTGAATAAGGTCTGTGCTGCTTTTTTGTTGTTGATTTCGGTTTTTGGGGGGGTTGTTTTGTTTTGTTTTTCACACAGGGTTTTTCTGTGTAGCCCTGGCTGTCCTAGAACTCACTCTGTAGACTAGGATGGCCTCAAACTCACTGAGATCTGCCTTATTCTGCCTCCCAATTACTCTGCCTCCCAAGTGCTGGTATTGAAGGCATGCGCCACCAGGAGCCTGTACTTCTTTTGCTCAATCCTGTTCCCCTGAGAAAAGCCAGGTTTGGAAGTATGTTCTCTGCAGGAACATACTTAGTTATGGGCATTCAGTAAAGTGTGTGCTGAGGATTTGGAACGTAACATGGCACAAAGTAAGCTACATATATATAACAGTAGAAGGGAGTACTCTTAATTACAGTGACAATATTGTGTATTTAAGGGAATAGTCTATTGCCTTTTAATTTATGAGGGTACAAGATTGTATTAATAAATCGAATTCACTCCAAAAAATGTTTTTCTTGATTGGTGTAAGCAAGAACTTGATTGTGAAAATACAATCCGCTGTTTTCAATTATATTCCAAAGAAAAGTGTTTGAGATTTGCTGCTTACTCTGTTACAGGTATCTGATGTGTAGCCATGCAGAAGACCTACGAGCAAAGGCTGAGTGGGAAGGCAAGGGAACAGCCTCCCGCTCCAAACTGCTGGACAAGCTTCAGAGTAAGAGATCATTTTTGATATTTATTTCCTCCTAGATTGAAGGAAGGAATATAGATCAAATAGGAAGCTTGTGTTTAGACACAGCTTTGAGTTTTTGTGGAAGGAATCCATTAAGAAGTCCTTTACATGGAGGATTCTCCCACTCACCAGATGTGATCTGGAGTCAATGTAGAGGTGCTGGACTCGAATTCTCCTTGCTTTTGTATTCTTTAGTCATGCTCCTAAGATTTTCTTTGGATGAAAAGTACAATGGTTAGAGGAAAAAAATGTAAACCACAGCTGTAAGTCATATGCATTTTACAGTTTTTGTTCGTTGTTTTGTTTAGTAGGGACTGGATTTCTTTTTTTTTTTTTTTTTCTTTCTTTTTTTGGTTTTTTTGAGACAGGGTTTCTCTGTGGCTTTGGAGGCTGTCCTGGAACTAGCTCTTATAGACCAGGCTGGTCTCTCTGAACTCACAGAGATCCACCTGCATCTGCCTCCCGAGTGCTGGGACTAAAGGCGTGCGCCAACAACGCCCGGCAGGGACTGGATTTCTTTAGGTAAATTGTTTTATGCTTCTCCCAGCTGTGTTTGATCACTTTCAAGTTGTGTTGGGGAGGGATTTCATTTTTATCATATCTTTATGTAAAATACCTCCTTTCCATTAAAACCATGCTGTTATGTTGCAGAGAGTGGAAGTCTCAAGAATCAGAAAATACATATTCCACATGCTTGGGAGAAATGTAAAGCATAAGAGTATTTAGAATAAGTTTGTATTTATTTTCATTCTCTGAATCTCCACAGTACCCTTGATTCTAGTAGCCTCAGTGTTTTGGCTTACTCTTTAATTTTTCGAGGCAGGGTTTCTCTGTGTAGACATGGCTGTCCTGGAACTCACTTTGTAGACCAGGCTGGTCTCGAACTCACAGAGATCCACCCTCCTCTGCCTCCCTAGTACTGGGATTAAAGGCGTATGCCACCACTGCCCAGCTTGGCCTACTCTTTGTTAACTGAAGATTTATCTTATACTGATTGTCTACTGATACATAATCATCATTGGATTTTCTATCCATTTTCTTTTTACTTTTGTCATGTGTTTCCATATGTGGTGTTATTCCCCTCAGAAACTCCACCTACAGGATACGGCCAGTATATTCCTTTTTAGTGGTGATATCACTGTAGCTTTTGAAAATACTTGCCTCTCCCTAGAGCTTGTCTATGTAAGGAAACAATACTGAGGTAAAAGGTACAACAGAAGAGGAGTGAATGTCTTAAATAAAAGTTTACGGTTTATTATTATTTTTATTTCTCTTTTTTAAAATATCTTTTATTAAAGCCTATTTACCACCATCAGTGATGCTTCCCCCACGGCGTTTACAGACTCTCCTGCGGCAGGCGGTGGAACTACAAAGGGACCGGTGCCTATATCACAATACCAAACTTGACAATAATCTAGATTCTGTGTCTCTACTTATAGATCATGTTTGTAGTAGGTAAGAGGAAATTTTCTTATATTTTCAAATGTTAGCATTTTACAGAAGAAATTATGAACTTTATTTGAACATTTTCTAGGGTTTCTTTATGTAGCTTTCATATTTGATTTACTGTTTATTCACAGTAAAACCCAGGACTACTAAAACTGAAACTTACATAAGCCTATGTTTATATAGTAAGCCACAGTTGGGAGCTGAAGCCCAAAAGCCAATTTTTTTGTGTTCTTACTGTGGGTTTGGTTAGTCATTTTCTATGTTCAACAGTTTAACTATGTGCCAAGTTATTCTCTGCATATGAAAATCATTGAAATACTTTTTCCTTAGTGGAAGTTCTGCTTTTTGTAAAGGAAGAGCTTCAAAAATGGTTCGAATAATAGGCATTAACTTTGTGTTTATTTTTTACCAAACCTTGCACATAATTGAAGTTGGAAGAATTCAAGCTTGTCTTTTGGTGTTAAGTATTGTTTAGTAAAAATTTCGGTGCTATTTTAATGATGCTCTCTAAAATTAAATCATAACTTTAAATTTAAAAACAAAGATGAAACTTGTGAGCCCTTTCAAACTGCAGGGAAGCTGTGATTTGGTTCTGACCAGCCACACGCCACAAGCAGGCTGCTGTAATGTCTGTCCTTCTTTCCTCCTGACGTCACTGAGGAGTTAATGAGAGCAATGATGATGGGCTTGTAGTAAGGGGAGACAGAGTGTGTCTGTTCATCAACCCGGAACTTTTGAGTCACCATAAATAGTAATTTAAAACAATACTGAGGACTGTTTATTATTTATTTTTAAAAATTTATGTTTTATGTATGAGTGCTCTGCATGTATGCCTGCCTGCCAGAAGAGGGCATCAGATCCTATTATAGATGGTTGTGAGCCACCATGTGGGTGCTGGGAATTAAACTCAGGTCCTCTGTAAGAGCAGCCAGTACTTTTATCCACCAAGCTATCTCTCCAGCCCTGTGAGGTGTTTAAACCAGGTGTTTTACTTTGTTTTTGTTTTTGTTTTTGTTTTGTTTTATTCAGTGCTGGAAATAGAACATAGGTCCCTTCAAATGCCAGTCAAAAGTTCTACCACTGAGCCTGTCCCCAGCCCTGTCATGTGCTGTGTGTGTAGTTGTGACATTACTCACTGCACTTGTAAGAAGAAAACTTGTTTGAGCTATTGGCCTTGGAAGTGATGCTCATCTTGAAGAACTGGCCCACGATTTGGTGTGAGTCACTGTTCTGCTGGGATGAGATTAACCCAACTCACTCCCTGGCATGGTTCTTGGACTTGTTTGCGAGAATTTTTAAAGCTTTTCATTTAAATTGGGTGGGGATAGATTACAAGGCACCAGTCCCCTGTTTTAAAGCTCCTTCCTTTAGGAGGTTGTTAAAATTAAGGCACTTATAGACCAAGGTCATTTCTGCTATGGACACTGGGAAATAACAAGTAGATCTGATGGTACCAGAGTTTCAGAAAGAAAGAGCCTTTCCTTCCTGTGCAGAAACAGAAACCCATGAGAAGAGGATTTTTTTTTCCCCTGTATAGTCTACCTCCTCCATCCTTCACCTCAGGGGTGGGCTGCTGGCTCATCAGCCCCATGTATAAAGCACTCTAACCACAGGGGTGGGATGCTCGCTCATCAGCCCATGCAAAAAGAACTCTTGACATTTTACTAGGATTGAAAGAGTTTGGCTTTTCTAAAGTAATTGTTCCTTGGGTCTTCTTTATGATTAAAAAAGCATGCACACACATGGTACACAGGCGTACTTGCAGGCAAAACACCCATACATATAAAAGTAAATTACAAATGCATTCCTTCTGTTTACCACCTCCCTCCTTCAAAAGGCAACTTCTCAAATCATTCTCCTCTGTGCAAGTCTTTGGTCTATGTCCTTGTTTTTCTTCACTGGATTCATGTACTGTCAATGCTGATGTTGGTGAGGAACAGTCTTTTTGTCTGTTTAATTCAGCAGCTGTTTTCCAGTTTATCTTGAGCTTTCTGTAGTATTATAGCTTTCTGTAAATATTCCAGATTCTGGATTGATGTTCTGACCCCTCCCAGGGTTCCTCTTCTCCATCTGTCCTTTAATCGTTTGTTCCAGGGTTGCTTCTTGCCTCATCTTTCTTCATAGGTTACACTTCCATGAATCTAGTGCCTCCTGGAAATAGGCCAGAGCCACAGTTTTCTCTCCTGAGCTTAGATCTGAGTGCAGTGTGGCTGTTGCTCTCGGTAAACACAGCAGATCTAAAGAGATTTCTCTGCCTCTTACTCAGGCCTGTTAAGTCTGGCTTTTATACTTGAGTTCTATCTTTTTTATTTTATTTTTCACATGTATGCTGTCTGTGCTTGAGTGTATGTGTTTTCACATGTGTTTGGGGGGTACATATGTACCTGTGGGTGCATCTGTGTGGAGGCCCAAGGTTGATACTGGAAATCTCCCTCAGTTGTTCTTCTACTTTATTCTTTTAAGACAGGGTCTCTCGCTGAACCTGGAGCTCACCAATACCAGCAAGTCTCTAGCCACTTTGCTCCAGGGATCCCCTGTCTCCACCTTCAGAGGCTGGAATTACAGGCGGATTACCATGTCACCTGGCATTTACATGGGGCTCGGGGCATCTGAACTTGCTTGCTTGCAAGAACTTCAGCTGCCAAGCCATCTTCCCATCCCTGCATTTTCTATCTCAGGGAGGATCTACCTACCCATTTCACCAAGCCGGAAACCAGGAGCCGTCCCCAGCTGTTCATTCTAGAGGTAGATTTTTAAGGAGACTAAGAGAGTAACACCAGGCATTAACTCAGTAAGTTGTCCCTTCATTGCCAGACTGGAAATAGAGCCTGAACTTAAGTCCTTAAGTTTAGCTGGAGGTCTTCAAAAGAAAAGTTGATAATTTTTAACCATCTGTTTTATTTTCTTCTAGAAACTAGATTTTAGCACTGGAGCTGGAAAGATATTTTCTGAAATTTAATGTAAACATGCTATCTATTCTTTACTCTCTGGAGAATAGAAAATTGATTATGAATAGCTGAATTATAATTTGAAAACCCCATATAAACTGAAGTGTTTTTATTAGGTTGTACACAATTGTTTTTCAGCTGGTGTGCACATATTTTTGGTTAAATGTGACCAGTAAAGAACAATTTTCTTTTCTTTTTTTTTTTTTTTTTTAAACAGAAAGAATTTTCTGGACTTTTTATACTGATTACTGATAGAAGTGTGTTTTTATATGTGTTTTTTTTTAAGTACTAGTTTTTTAGTATAGGATTTTTATAAAATATTTGTAGCCACAATTTAAAGTTTGAGTTTAGTCAAAATGCTACATTTACTGTTTTCTTTTATACAGTGCTGGTTTTTAATACCATCTTAAGTTTTAAATTTATATGAAAGCAAAGTCATGATTCATGTATCTGAAAAAGGCTGTGATAAATTTGCACATTACTGTAGTCTTCATTTTTAGTTTGGTTTTTTTTTGTTTTTGTTTTTGTTTTTTTTTAGATTTGATTTTATGTGTGTGAATGCTCTGCCTTCATGCACTGTGTGCATGCCTGTTTCCCACAGAGCCCAGAAGAGGGCACTGGCTCTCCTGGAGCAGTTGTGGGCTACTATATGTGTGCTGGGAACCAAACTCCTGTCTTCTACAAGAGCAGCAAGTGCTCTTAACCATGGAGCCACCTCTCCATTCCCACCTTAGTCTTAGTAAAAGGTTAAATGATAGTTTAAAAGTGACTGACAGCTGTCAATAGGTTAAATGATTTATGCTGTGTAATTTTAAGTCGGTCCTTACTTAAAGGTTGTTTGCTAATCTAAATGAATCTTTTCTATTGTGGTCAACTTCAGGCATATGACATTTTTATTGAAATCTTACTGGTCTTTGAAAAGTATTAAAGTTGACATTTGGAAAGATAATTCAGTCAATTATAGGTTCAAATTTTAGTTCGGTTAACAATTTTATGAAAATGTGGTAAGATACTTGACTCTTGGGGCCTTGTGAAAAATAGGGGTGTTAAAATTTCTCTTGTCAAACTAGTTTCAAGAATTAGTATTCTGGAGGCTGGAGCAATGGCTCAGCAGTTAAAAGTAGTTGTTCTTGAGGAGGACCCAGATTTGGTTCCCAGCACCCTCATGGTTAACAACTGTCTATAGCTCCAGTCCCAGGGCCCAGCTCTGTTCTCTGGCCTGTGTGGACACACTGCAAACAAGTGGTGCACAGACATAAATGTGGGCAAAACACCCCCACACACACACGAGAAGACATAGAATAGAATCATTCATTGTGTTGTTTCAGAGTAAAGTAGTTTGTAGTTAAGTAATCTGGGCCTAACTGTAGCTAGCCCTAAGGCTGGTGAATTGACAGCATGTACACTCCTTCCCTGTGTACGTGCTACTGCACACTCTCTTGCCATATTGCCCATGCTGGTCTCAAACTTTTGGTCTCAATTGGTCTCCCTACCAGAACTAGGACTATCCGCTCCCTCTGCTGTGCTGGGCTCTCATTACTTACTGGTTGGGGAAAAAAAATGGAGAAGACTGTTGAGGTCTTTTGAAGATAAGTTTAAAAGTGTGACTTGGGCAAGATCAGGAAGATGGGTTTCATGTTAGCCTAGGCTACAGTGGTAAGAACAACTCTCAAAATGGGGTAGGAGGGCTGGAGAGTCGGCCCAGCGGTAAGAGAGCACTTGGCACTTTTGCATTTCCCAGCTCCACCTCCAGGGAATCTAATACCTTCTCTTAGCCTCCACATGGTACAGAGGCACTCATCCAGTGCACATACAAATACATAGGCAAAACACTCATGACGCATTCTTTGCTGGAGTTGTTTTACTCCTTCAATCATGTTTGTCCTAGGAATTAAATTTAGGTTGTCAGGCTTTACAGCAGGCACTTTTACAAACCCTTGAGCTATCTTGCTAATTCTCATCATTTATTAGTAAGTGTGTGCATGTGTGGAGGCAGAGGGCAACTTCGGGAGTCCGTTCTCTCCACTGTTTGGGTTCTAGGATGGATTGTCAGCTGTTCAGCAAGCATTTTTACCTTTGAGCCATCTCACTGGACACCCCCCCTTTTTTTTTTTTTTTTTTGGTCATACTAATAGCTTAGCTGATTTTATGTGCTTGAAGATGTTGCATTATTTCTTATTCTTTATAAAACCAACTAATGCCATTCATTTATAAAGTGGGTAAACATAATTCCTGAATAATAAGTACTCATATGAATTGCCTTAATCAAACCAGGTAGCCTTCAGAAGGCAGCAAAAAAGTAAACTTTAGGTTGAAGTAGAATTTATATTACAGATTTTAACTAAAGTTGACTTGAACAAAAAGTACCTGATGTTGTAGTGTTTTCATTTTTCAACATACCAAAATAAATTTTATTCTTGAGAATTGTAAATGCATTCATATTTCTACTTGAGAACTCCTATTCTACCAGTTGTTAAATGTCCTTCTCATTATTGCTAACAATGCTTTGAAAGAGTAATTGTATGTGGGTTTGTTTGTTTTAGGAGGCAGTTCCCCTGTTACACTCAGCAGATACTCACAGAGCATTGTAATGAAGTGTGGTTCTGTAAATTCTCTAATGATGGCACTAAGCTAGCAACAGGATCAAAGGATACTACAGTCATCGTATGGCAAGTTGATCCGGTATGTAATCCTGGATGAGTTCTTAGATTGATTTATTTTATGTGTGCACATCACGTATGTGCCTCTCCTGCACAGGACTGAGGGTGCATCTGACCCAGAGTTGGATGATTGTAAGCCACGATGTAGATGCTGGCATTCAAACCCTGCTCCTTTTACTTTTGAGTCTTAACTCTCTAGTTATTTTTAGTTTTTCAGGACAGGGTTTCTCTGTAGCTCTGGCTTTCCTGGAATTCAGGAGACTAGGCTGGCCTTGAACTCAGAGATTTGCCTGTGTCTGCCTCTCAGGTGCTGAGGTTAAAGGTGTACATCTGCTTACCTATTTGTAATATACATAAGTATAAGCAGTAGTCTTCTGCAAGTGTCTTTTGGTCATGTTTGTCATTTGATTTTTGTTGTTGTTGTTTGTGTGTGTGTTTTGTTTTGTTTGAGACAGGTTCTCACTTGGTTTCCCAGGTTTGTCTAAAACTCAAGTCCCTTCTGCCCCAGCCAGCCTTCCGAAACGCTGGACAGATAGAAATGTATCATCATACCTGACTCTGATCACTTTTGTATATATTTGTCTTTTTCTGTGTGTGGTGCTTCTTTTTAATGTTTGTAGGTTAATATTATCCTAGTTGTTTAGTGTTGTGCTAAATTGTGCTAAGTCATTTTGCCTTCTTTAATCCTCTGAGTGACTCAGGTGCTGAGCCTTTTGTGTTGAAGTGAGGAAACTGGGGTAAAAGTGTTAAATGCCAAGTATAATTCATAGATCTCGTGTAGTCTTGCCTGGTTTTCCCCAATGATTTGAAGATTAATGCATGTGGATTTTGTTTTGTTTTCGAGACAGGGCTTCCCTGTGGCTTTGGAGGCTGTTCTGGAACTAGCTCTTGTAGACCAGGCTGGTCTTAAACTCACAGAGATCCACCTGCTACCACCACCTGGCTAAAGATATAAATCCTAGGCTTGCTTGTTTTGGTTTTTCAAGACTGGGTTTCTCTGTGTAGCTTTGGAGCCTATCCTGGCACTTGGTCTGTAGACAAGGTTGGCCTCGAACCTTGTCTACAAGAGAGACAATGCCTGCCTCTGCCTCTCGAGTGCTGGGATTAAAGGCCTGCATGTGGATTTTAAGTGCTGAGTTTTCTCCAATCTGAATTGTCTTTATCACTAGAGAACCTACAGAGGTGTAGAAATAAGCCTGTTCATTTCTTTCAACCAACATTTGTCCACTAGTCAAAAAGAGCATGATTCCAAATAGGCTATACATGTTTTAGGAGCCTTTCACCTAAGATGTACATAAAACTTGATTTAGAGCTAAAACACAGCTTTTTGCCTCTAGATACATAGATTGGCCCTCAACTTTATTTTGAGCAACACAACAGAGTAGTCTTAGGAGCCAATATGATGGCTCAGTAGGTGAAGAAGGCACATGCTTTGCCAGCCTGGAGACCAGGGTTTTTTTTTTTGTTTGTTTTTTTTTTTATTCCCTGAAACCTACATAAAGGCGGAAAGAAAGTAATGACTCCACAAAGTTGTCATGACATGTAGGCTGTGTGATATGTGAGCCCACTCAAATATCATCCACGCACAACATATATAACAAAGAATTTAAAGGCATCATAAAAGGAAAAGTACAAACTAGAGACAGGTACTTCTTGAATACCTTCCTGTGGCAGGAGGTCTTTGGGGCTGGGGAGGTAACGCATTAGTTAAGAGCACTAGCTGCTCTTCCAGAGCATCTGGGTTCAATTCCAGCATCCACACGGTAGCTCATAACTCCAGAATCCAACACCCTCACGTACATGCCAGCAAAACACCAATGCACCAAAATAAAATTAAATAAATTACATATATAAGGCGGTCTTCCTTTTTTGTACCCCAATACCTAGCTAGCAATCTGACAAACTTACTGGTCATCTTAAAATCATACTGTTAGATACACAAGCCAAAATACATAGCTGCCACACCCCTCTGTGTGTGTATGTGTACATACATGTATGTAAACATATAATACCATATATAATATAAGTTATGCACTAATTATTTAAGAAACCTAATTATATTGAAATATAGGCTTTCAACCTAGAATGAAAAGGTATATTATTCCTTTATTAACCCTAAATAATTTTAGTAGCAGATAATGACTACCAGCATTCTATTTTTATTTGTTTTTCCCCTGAGACTGGGTTTCTCAGTATGGTCCTGGCTGTCACTGTCCTGGAACTCACTTTAACTATCGGCATTCTGCATTTCTAAATTTAAATAATATTGTAAGATATCTGTAGCAATTAGAATAGGAAATGAAAGTGTCTGAAATATCTTTAATGTTGAGGCATAATACTGAATTTACTGTTACCTAATGTACTACTTAATATTTCTACATATATTGCATCAGTTTAAATGCATTAGTGATAGATTAAGTCACGGATAATTCATTGGCATCTGTCTTAATCAGGGTTTTCATTGCTGTGAAGAGACACCATCATTACAGCTTTTACAAAGAAAACATTTAATTGGGGTGACTTACTTACAGTTCACTATCATCATAGTGGGTTGTTACGAGAAATTCTTGGCCCAGCAGGTTCTGCCACCCTTGAGCCCCAAATAAACACAGAAGCTATATTAGTTATAAATCTGTTGGCAGTGACTAGGGCTTATTTGGCTAGCTCTGTCTTAATTATCAACCCATTTCTATTAATCTAAGTATTTCCACGTGGTCTTATCTTACCAGAGAAGGGTCTGGACCTCTAACTCCTTTGGCGGCTCACATGACAATTCTGTCTGCCTTCACCGGAATTCTCCTCCTCTGGTAGCCCCGCCTATCCTTCCTGTCTGGCCACTAGCCACACAGTGTTTTATTCATCAACCAATAAGAGAAACATATGCAGGAGGACTTCCTCCATCAGTGGGACATGGCAGGGTGCAGGCAGACATGGTGCTGGAGAAGGAGCTGAGAGTTCCACATCTTGATCAGCAGGCAGCAGTAGAGTCTGTATCCACACTGGGCATTGCTTGAGCATAGGAGACCTCAAAGTCGGCCCCCACAGTGGCACGCCTCCTAATAGTGCCACTCCCTTTGGGGGTCATTTTCTTTCAAACCATCAACACATCATCCATTAAGGAAAAGAAATAATAAGCACTTTTCCTTGGAGTAATTTAACCAACAATGAGCCCCATTTTAATTTTCTACTTCTCTCTTCCCCTAGTGTCTCTGTCACTCTAGTCTGTCTGCTGTGTGAGTCTGAATCTGCTTGCTTTAATGCTGTTTTGTGAGTTTGCCCTAACAAAGGCATCACATGGGGAAGGAATAGGCAATACTTTTACAGAAATCTTTTTTCTATTTAGGGAACAAGCTTGTTTCACATGTAAGTCCCTTCTCTCTCTCCCTCCCCTCACCCCCATCACTCCTCCCCCATCCCCA